TCTCTTTTCATCTCATAACAACCTTTTCTATGTTTATTTTTGACTATAATAATCAAATTATTATTTATACTCCCAATAGTTCTCTCATAAATCAATCCAATTTTCTTACTTTTAACCATTTTTATTGTACAAACCACCACTCAAACAAATTTTTAAATATTACATCTTCACATCCTAATAAATATAATCCCATTTTCCAATCCTAAGGTCATTATAATATTCTCCAGTTTCAAAAATTTATACCTAACTATCTATAATGTTATAATAAAAATAACTTACTTCTAATAGTTTAGGCGTATATCTATCAATAATCTTTACTTTAGCCTTCATTATAGTATCCACTAACATTCTTAGAAGTTTTTTATTCCAAAAAGCAATCCATTTACTATCTTTCTTTTTGTTTTTACCATACTATCCTTTTCAAGAAAGATTGTGGATTTAATCCATATTCTTTCTGTTATAGCTTTCAACTTCTGTTATAATTGTTTTTTCCTCCCAATTAATTGATTATTGGCAGTTCAAATAGTTCTTGTTAATTAATTTTAAATTTAACTTTCCTTTTATAATTTATAAATAATTTACTGATAAGCATTTAAGATATAGACTCTTCAATTACTTATTAAGCATATTTTGATATAATTAATTTCCTTACAATTTCAACTTCTCTCATACTGTACCAAAAACTTGAGTAAATCCACAAAAACCATATTTTCTACCAGCAGAACATGATTCCTTAGTTATAATTCTGCACAAAAGCAGCAGCACATTCAAAAATTTTAGTCTTTTTTTTAGTATCTGAACATGCCTTTGTTTTACAGTAGTATTCCAAACGAAAGCTTTAAATTAGTTATCTATAACAAAACCAGCTTATTTTGTAAACGAGGCCCAATCAGCCAAAGAAATACATTTAAATCCATATGTTGTCCATTTTGTGGCTGCATTTATTTATTACACTTAAAATAATTTTGATCTTCATAATTATTCTAAAATAAACAAATTCTTGTATCCCTTACAACCATTATTAGGTTTTTAAGTTTTTAATGCCTCATAGCATCAGCTTAATCTACATGCTGAAATATCTTTAGTGAATCTCCAAGCGCCAACAGGTTCTCTAATCTCACTTGCTGCTTCACTACCTACCCAAAATTTGTTCCATTACTAATACATTTCAGATTAAATGCTGAACATTCTGCATTAACTTACTTAACTAAATCTATAAATTAAGTCAATAGTTGGCATTTTTTTGTGGATGTTACACAATAATAAATATTATCTATGCCTACTGTAGAAACAAAATATTTTAATAAATTATTTAGCTTTTACTATTAAGAAGTCTGACACAATTTAAATTGAATTAGTACAATAGTATGATAATTCCTCTTTAATTTCAATTCAAATATGGTACAGTCATCATAACACCAAATATAAATTTTAAATATCCGGTTTTACTAAATTATCAAATAAGATAAAAAACCTTTAAAGTAAAGTATATTCATTTTTAAAACTTAAAAATTTCCAAAATTTTATCGAAAATGAGATCAAAAATATTCACTAAAAAGACATTTTTTTAATTTGATCTTATATATCATAAGATTCCATTTTATTTTAATCTGAAATGTATCAAAATTAATAATTTAAAAAAATAGGATTTCATCAGAATTAAAATTGGACAATTATTATTATAATATTTTAATATGTATCTTTTCTTCAATCAAGAATATGTCTACTTATTTTCTTCCAAGTTCCTATTTTTTATCCTTATCTGTTGTAATATCCCTCAAAAAACTAAAACTCTTAGCTACTGAATTTACTAAAATGTATAGTCTAAATATAAAACCAATTTTATTTATTGCCAAATTCAATCCATTTACCATATTTGATTCCATTTTAATCAAATCTTCCGCCTCCACTATATTTAAGTAATAATAGTTACATTTAATTTGAGTAACTCAGAAATATTTTCCATTTTCCAATCTTCTGCCCTTGTATATTATACTTTCCATTCCAATGAATATAGTCTCTTTGATTAGAATAAAAAATTACTTGTTACCAAAATATATAATTATCTCCTACCAATAGCCAATCTTCATTCCATTTAAGTTGTACTTTCCACCACCAATATTCTCATGAAATTACATCAACTTAGAAGTAATTTTCCATTCGTTTATTCTAAATCCCTTTTAATCATATTCCCCTTCATACGTTAAAATAGTTTGATTGCTAAATTTATTGATAATAATTACATTTTTGTATCATATGTAAATGTATATAATTCAGTCCACCTTTCAATCTTCTTCCCATTATACCCATAACAACCACCACCTCTATAATATAATATAGAAAATTATCAATACATTTTTATCTTCTCATCATTTTTTTTATACCAAATATTCCATTCACCAAACCTTTACCCATATTTATATTCTCCAACCATGATTGGCTGAATTCTAAAATTCAATTAAATATTAATACTCATTAGTATAAAAGTTGTGTAGTTCTGTCCATTTCCCATATTTATATCCATTTTGTTGATATTTTCCTCCACCGCTACATAAATAATGAATATTTACATTTCTTGGGTTTTTTCATAAATTTTCCAACTTCCAATTTTATTTCCTTCTTCATTATAATTCCCAACATAGTAAATTTCGTTACTAAAATACTAATTATCTTCATCATCAAAAGAAAAAGAAGATTCTTTTTAATAATTTTAATCCACTTCTTTCCATTTACCTACTTTTTTTCCAAATTTATTATAATCTCCTCCTCCACTATCATAATAATTATATAATAATTACATCCTAAATTGATTCTGGTAGATGATCCATTAACCAAACTTCTTACCTTAGTCATTGTAAAAGCCTTCAATATAGGTATGACTGCTGATGAATTAGTATTAAAAACTATACCGTTAATCAAAATTTCCACAAATTTCTCCCCAAAAATCTACTTTTTATCCTTCAGAATTATAAAAAGAGCTGAATCTACAAAATAAATATAGAAATTACAATATTTCATCCTTCAAATAAATTACCCATTTTCCTTACTTCCTTTCCTCTAAGCCATAATATCCTTTCAAAATAATTTGACAACTTTTATTATCACCAAATTCATTTACTCTTTATTATAATTTTCATCTATTTCAATCCATTCTCCTTCCTTTAATCCATTAATCTAATAAACCCCAAGCCCTCTTGAAATATAAAATAACTATTACATTATTTTTTCATTTAAAAAATAAGTCCAGAGTCCATATTTTAAACCTAAATAATTGTAATTTCCTTCAAAAGTCACAAGCATCTCACTAATATAATAAATAATTTAAATTACTCTCTATATTATGGAGTCATTTCAATCCATTTTCCTGCTTTTTATCCTCCTCTAATATAATACCCTCCAATTTTAGTTTACTATCCTTCCCAGAATGCTGTCCATTTTCCAATTTTATTTTTTTATTAATCATATTCACCAATCCAACTCAATTTTTATAACTAGACCATGTTTTAACAAACCCTCTCCATAAAACAGTTGTTTTCGCTTTATTTAATATATAAAAATATACCTTTTGATTAAAGTACCATCGTCATAATAATTTAAATTAGCTTAGGTAACTTCAATTAATAAATTTGCTTTTAAATTTTATGTGTTATATGCTACTACTTCAAATTGTTATTCTAACATATTAGCTTCTTATCTATTCCTTATAATGTCAGATATTATATGAATATTTTTATCAACTTTCTACAAGGACTCATTCATTTAAGTAATTTTTTCTAATAATTTCTAGTTTTTCTAGTGATGATGATATTATTAGAATTCATAAATCTTTTTATAAGTTTCTCTATTCCAACAATTAAATTTAAGAAAAAACTATTTTTCTTCTATTAAAAATTTCTCTTCTTAATATTATTATTCATCGTTTTATATTAATAAATCTAATTCCTTTGTGAAATCGATATCATCAAATTATTAAGTTTGCTACTTTATTTCATCTTCAAAATTACAAGCCAATTCACTGAGTTAATCTAATAGATTGAATTTTTTGTTTAAATCGGATTTTAAATCATTTACATTATTATTAAAATCTTATAATAGTTGAAGAACAGGATGAGCCAATGTTTAATATTAATCTAGATTTTTTTATTAAGAAACTTAAATCCTATTCTTAAAACTTTCAAAGGACTCAACTTTCTTATTCTAAACTCTTGGACATTCCATGCAACCAAGTCTTTTATTTTCTGGCCAAGATTCATCTAATATCACATCAATGATTGGTAAACTGTGATTATAGTAGCATCTTAATCCTGCTTCTTCATTTATAAACTTGTTTTGATTTCTCATTTTAATGTATTAAAAACCATATAATTTCTGATAAAAGAATTTATATTAAAATAATACAAAATTTCAGCAGAAAATATGATGAAAAAATTTCTAAAATTATCTCTGATCAAAATATTTGTTCACAGAAGGAGAATTTAAAGATTAAAATAATTTTCCTTACTTATTCCTTTAATTTTTTTACATTTTTATTTCTATCATTTATGCACTCTAGCTTATTAAAACCCTAAATGATTATGAAGTTTCTTTTTAGTATAATTTTATAAAAGCTGCCTTAAATTTCAAACTTTAGTTCACTTTATTTTATAAAACCTTAATTAGTCATAAATAAGGCTGTACCAATATTTCTGGCTATTCTTGTTATGATCTAATAACATACAACAATCGACTTTAGACTTCTATCCTAATATTTTTCCAATATGCTTAATAGGTATTAATGATAGGAAACTTTGGTAATAAGGACTTAAATGTTTTTTTATATTGTTGAATTCATATAATTTGATCTTCGTAAATTTTAAACTAAAGGAGGAAATAATTAAAAAGCTGAAAGACTATAATTTTTTGCAGTTAAATGATCATTTTATCAATAAAAAGAATATGGTACTTTATAAATCTTTATTCAAAATATGTTTTGAAATATTGATATCAGCTTTATTGAAACATTCAAGAACTTTATTATTTTTTAACTTTTTTATAATGTTTTAATTATTTAGTGTCTGATGGATAATTGCATAATATTTTTTATATGAATATGCTATTTTACTTTATGATAATGTTATAACCTAAGCATCAATATCATCTAGCATCTGCATTATTGATTTGATCATTATTAAAAAATGTACCATAAGATAAAAAATCATTCTTTTAAAGTTTCTTATTTTAGAAAAGAAATTGATTTTTTTCAGGATTAAATGATTTAGCTTTAAGCTTAAAAATAAAATTATATCGATTAAACAATTTAATTTATTGAAAAACATGGCACATAGATTAGTAATATAATGACAGAGTATGGGAATTAGGCACGATAATAAATACTTGAAGTATAAGAGAAAAATTTATAATAGAAAGAAGTTTGGATAAACAAACTATAGTTATAAAAGATTTAAAATGATCATAATCTTATAATTTATCTAAATAACAGATGCAAGAAATTTCAAAAGAATTAAGCAATTAAAAAAGTTTGAAACAATTTAATTAGACCATTTATGTTGAATATCAATTATTCATTGTAAAATCATAGACGATGTTAATGAATTTTATTGAATTAGATTAAACCAGAAATTAAAATTTGAAAGAATAAAGTTATCCTGGTCAATCTCAATTAACAAAGCCAAAGAAATATAAAAAGTGGATATTCCTAATTATTTTTGCAATTATTTTGTGTGTTTTTTATTATTAAGTCAACCATAGAGAAACAAAGAAACATAATATGTGTTTGATAAAAGATTTAGTTCTGAGTTGATTAATTCTATAAAGCTTAATGGTGATTGCTTTGCTATTGCATTTAATAAAGAGTTATCAATTAAGATTACTGGCAATGATAACGATATTGATGTACATGAATTCAAAGATGGATAAATTTAATTCTTTTAAACATTGAAAGGTCATGACGTTGATGTTAGCACACTATATTTTATGAAGAATTCAAATTAATTTATATCCGGCGGTTACGATAATACAAAAATAATATGGTAAATTAAGAATAGTAAATGGTAAGCTTAATATAAATTGAAACATACAGGTTTTGTAAATCATATAATCACGAATGCTAAAGAAAATCTTATTATATCTGCCAGTGATGAGGAAACTATTAAATTTTGGTAGAAACAACATGATTAATGGAAGCTAATTTAAACAATATCGGATCTTGATTTTGCATATAATTTAAGTTTAAATGAATCTCAAAATTAATTAATATGTGCTAATGGTGATCACCTGATGGAATAATAAAGAGATGATAAGAGATGGATTTAAATATAAAAAAATTCAATTAGAAGATTACGGTAAGCAACTTAGTTTTATTGATGACAATTAGTTTACATTTTAGCCTCAAAGGGTTAATATACGTATTCATACGAATGGAATAACCTGAGAAAAAAACTAATGATTTTTAGTACAATCAGGTGATTATTATGATGATTAGTTATTTCTTTAATAACTTATTAAGTAGATTCTATCTTAATTAATAGATTTGGTGTAGTTGTAAATGTGATTAAAAAGAATTAGAATGCAGAATTTATAAATTTATAATAAATTGAATTTGGAAATGATTCGTTAAATGGATCTGCACTGATAATGGAGATTATTTAGTAGCATAGGATTGGAAAAGTTCTGAATTATAAATTAGAAATATAATGAAAAATGATTATTCATTTATTATTAATTATTTTTTAAGTAAATGGATGTAAAAGTTCAAATAAGGATGGAAAATAACTAGAAAATATATTCTTGATAAAAATAATTCTCTAAGTCAGTAAATTACAATAAATAAAATATAGATCTTTTAAATAACCATTTAAATGGGTACAAATTATAATCTGAAATTTAAAATTATCAATAGTGTTTGATGTTTGATACAATACTTAGTATTTGAGTGAACAAAAGATAGTTATCCATATTGATATATTATATAAATGAAAAAAATTTTATTCTAATTAATCAATTTGATCTCCAAAATAATCTCAAATTTTGAAATTTAGGCATGATAACGAAGAAATATAAATTACTTTTACCTGCTAATTGTAATATAATAAATCACTAAGCGTTACCAGAGTAATGAATATCTAATAAAACCTAAAAAAAAAAAATAGCTTAAAAATTGATCTTTAATTGAATCAAAAATAGATTAATGTAAATTTTGATAATCATAAACTTTTATTTTCAAATTTCCATAAGTAAAAAGTAGATTGAAAATTTTGCATTAGAAGATTATAAAATATCAATTCGTAATTAAATTGAATAAATGCTTTGATTGTGTATCAATATGCAATATCCCTTTTTTTATTACTAATCTATAAATAATTGTTCCTTAAGTACAAGTAAGTATATTTCTTTTAAACAAATTTTTTTATTAAATTTAACCAAACATATTAATTTTGCTAATCAATCAATCTTTTTGACATAGTTCTACGTTAGTTCACGTTCATTAATAAAGTTTTTTATTATTTTTAAGTCTTTCTTTTGTTCCATTCCAAATCTTTTGTTTCTAGCTTAATTTCAATTTCTTACGTTTAAATAAATTATTTATAATTTAAATACATTCTTTTAAACACATTTGATAATAACATCTCTAAGAAATTTCGAGCGAAATCATATGTGTTCAAATTTTAATACTTTTTAAATATTAGATATAATTCTGCTAATATATAAGTTCTGTCAAATCTAATATATGAAATTTCAGGTTCATATTTCTATCTCCTTCACTTTACAATTAATACAATAACAAAGATCAACTCCATATATTGTTTTAAAATTTTTAAAAATGTTATAGCTTTCACAGATTCAATACTTTTATAGAAAAAAAGTTGTAAAAGGCTCAGTTGCAATACCTATTTAGTGAAGAGATTAGGTGCTTATTAACACATTCATTACTAAAATATGACTTGTCTTTTATAAATGGATTGCTAATTAATTTATCCATTTTTATTGAACTGTATTGTTTAAATTATTGATAGTTTCTTTACTTGTGAGTATAAAATTTAAATAAAAACAAATACTTCATTTTCTCTTCAAATGTGTCCCTAAAAATGATCATATTCATGAACCCTATCGTACTCAATTAAGTCTTGTACACATTAACATCTCGATCAAATAGTTGTAGTGATTTTACTTTTATAATTGCCAAAAAAATTGAATGAAAAAACTAAAATTCTAATCTTCCCAACTAAACATTAGAAGAAAAATGAATAATTTATAGGAGAGGATCCAGATCCAGATTTTATGTAATTACATAACCAACTTGATGAAGTATTACATACATTCATTTTTAGGAAAAACATTAATTTCCTTAATTTGGAGAAATATTATTACAACTACTTTATTTTAATAATGAAATGCATTTTTTATAATTTATGATCTAATTTCCTTATGTTATCTGGAAAAAGTTTTGCGTTTTAAATATAATTATAATTGTAAAGTGAGAAAATGAATGGAATTCCTTTCTTAAGAATTTCAAATAACTTAAAAATACATATTTGAATTGCAAGCCAAAATTTCTTAATAAATTAGAAAATCAAATATTAGAAATAGATTGTCAAAAATTAGATATGATCACAGAAGATAAATTATAATATTATTTTTGTAATTAAAAATTGAAAGTGGATTGAAAAATGTAATTTTTTAATCTTATTATTTAAAGTTCCGTATCGAAGATGTTTATGACATTGTTATTATGAATTAGAAAAATTTGTTGAAAATTAATAAGAACTAGATGATCAAAAATTTTATGTCAGAATAAGGTTGTAACTAAATATATGTATAACCATAAAAAGAGTGTTTGATATGAAATTCGATAACAACAAATAATATAGGAATATTAATTTTTAGGAACTCAAAAAGCTCGAAAAAATATCTTAACTAACATGTTCGTCTTGGGTGCGGGCATTTTTAATTAAATGCTTCTCTCGATTAATTAAAACAATAAATACATGATATTCATAAACAATTTTTTAATAGTGTCACTAACATGACATGTAGAAAACAATCATGATTATTTTCCTTATTTACATATAAATTATTATTAAACATAAAAAATACATAAAATTTATTTAAAATAGATCACCTATTTTCAATTATAATTGTATTTTTATTGTTTTTCTACTTTTTAATGTGCCATTTTTTTGTGTTGAACAGTATAATTAATAAGGCATTAATTAATATTATGACTAATTATGAATTTGTTTGGGATTGAGAATTCGATTCTGATTATACAAATGTCAAATTTATCGATGATACATCATTTTGAAAAGTTATAATTACTTCATCATTATCGCATATATCATTGCATTATACTTAATAATCAACGAATTTTCGCATATTATGTTCTTACAAATTATTTGAGTTCTCTATAAAGTGTGTTTAGTTGTATTGATAAAATTTAAGATCAAGTTATGAAAATTCATTTGTTGAATAACTATCAATTATAAAGTTATCCTAGTTTAAATTATAAATCTCAAAAAAATGATTGTATTACAAATTTGTTAGCTTTAGAATTAAATATTAATTGTTTAACAATTCTAACTTTGATAATTCCTTTTTATTTCCATATCTAATGACATTTTAAATTTTTGAAAAAAATGATTGATCTACTCTATTGAAAATAAGTAAAATTCTATAGCATTACAACACCTAAAAACAAAGGATAAAATCAGTTTTCATTTCAGTATCTCCATATATGAAATCTATTAATTATATATCTTTAATATCTTTTTAGTCTAATAAGATCCATTCTTGATCTAAAATTTCTTGTAAAGAAAAGATGTGTTGAAAAGTTGTAATTACATTCTCATCAGCTATTGCAAAGATAATAGAGGACTAAATCAAATTTTACTGAGACATCATGTAATATTTTTTATTCTTAAAGAGTATTTTAAAATGATTAAATGAATTCTGATTGTTTAAGAGTAATCTTACTATTTGTTCATTTTTAATTTAAAATACCGACAATGGCTCTTTCATATTCATATTACCTGCTATCATAATCTAACCAATTATTTAGACATCATTAAATAATTAAGATATTCTAACAAATAATAAATCCTTATAATTACTTGTAGTGTAAGGGTTATTTGGAGATAATTACCATTTTCTCATTTAGTATTAGTTTTTATAAAAAATAATTATCGTCTAAATAGTATAAATATGACCCATTAATAAATTTTTCATATTTAATTAAATAAAGAATTGTCAGATTTTCAATATTTAAATTATATGGATCAGAAAAGGAGTTGATTATGAGAGATTTTTTATCTTTTAAACATATATCCACAATGTATTATTTACATTATAAAATATCCACTATTTCTGTAGATTTTAAAGGAATTCTATTAGTTACATTATTATAAAATATATAATCAATATTTCCAAAAATATTTGATATATTAATTATTTTAGATTTTCGATTTTCAGAAAAAATAAAATAATTTTTTGAATTTTCTAATCTCTTTCTTAAGGTTTAATTATTATTTACAAATACATAGGTTATATTTAAAGATAATTATTGGTTGGAAATTTGAGATTTAATTTCTAATTATATTGGGGATGCTTTAATGTAAGTATCAAAATTAAGATTGGTTTATTTAATTGAAACATAAACTCCTAAAAAATTATCTAAATGCACATCTTTTTTGTATATCGTTATAAATCTATTTACTTGAATAAAACTGAATTAAGAATGAGAATCATCAATAGGAATAGCTTTTAATAGTTAAGAACTTATTGGTTTATCATAATCATAGATTAATACAAAATAATCTAAATTATTCTCCTAATTTATTTTAAAAACTAAAAGAGCCAAGAACTACATTTTGTAGGTTTTATATTAAATAGGATAGTGTATTTAATATTCTTAAGTAATTAGTTTTCTTAGATAGATTAATTTGGTTCCTTCCAAACAATAAATGTAAGATTGTAGATAGTTTTAAATTAATTCAAACATTATATAATATGAATTACTTAGTTTTTGAAATTCAATGATATTTTAGAAAGTGTAAACTTCTTAGGTAATCCAGGTGATTATAATTAAGTTTGATGAGAAAAATATTTTCTTTTGAGAATACAAATATTAATTTGTACAGTTTTGTTATAAGTTTTCAATAGTTTCTAAAAATTCTAAAGTTTTTATTAAAATATGAATGTGAGTACAATTCTCTAAAGAGATAATTAAGATGTCATCTTGTTAAAATAAAGAATTTATTTTAGATTTTAATTTTAATTGTCTCGATTTTATTTCTTAATCCTACCATTAATAGAAAACAAGCTTTTTATTCTTTTTATCTACAATAATAACATTTGAATTAGAAATGCTTGTAAAAACCTAACAATCATCTATGTTAAAATTATAATTTTAAAATTGATACTTTTACTCTAAAGTATTTTAAATAACGAGTGTTTTATTCTTGTAAAATTCAAATAATATATTTTCAATATAAATTAATAATAAAGGTGATAATTATTCTGGCTTGTATTATAAAATTTAAAATTAATCTAAAGTTAATATAATTTTATCAAAATCTTTAAATCCAATAATTTACCAAAGTGTTCCATAAAGATAGTTTGATATTTTAATTTCAGTAATATCATGCAAATAAGTCAGTTATTTGTCACTATTCCAACATAAATTTGCATCTTTCAGAATAAAGATTAAGTTCTTTTAATCATAGGCTACCAATTCAGATGTTTCTAATTTATATTCATGAAGAGTATAGATATTCGACGTTTAAAAGTTTAAATAAAGAACATTTATTACAAAAAGCACTTTAGATGAATTAAGATTGATAGAATAAGGTAAATCAAAAATTTAATAGATTTTGATTTATCCTGCCTTTGTTACTCCAAAAATTATAGGTAAGTTTCCTAAATCAAGCACTTCTTGAAATTCTTAAGTTATTGTGTAATTGATTAAATGAGTATTGGAAATGAAAACCTTACTTTCAAAATATAATATATAATTCTAATTAATAATAAAGGCATTCCTTAATTAATCGTTTTCTGGATTTATAATCACTCTTCTCTTGTCTAATTTAATTTGCTATTATTATGTTTAATCAATTATAAATTATAATGTTTTCTACTTTGATATCGATCTAAAAAGTTTTCTGTTGCTATCATTTATATTATAAGCTCTATTAAAATGAAAATAAGTTAAATCCATCTCTAATGAGAATTAATTAAACACAATAATCAACTTATCATTTTTTTGAGAAGTAATCCATACAATATCATCAGAGGTTAGATTTTCGTTTAAAAAATAACTTTTTACCACTTCTAAATTAAAATTATTGCTGATTTCGACAAATGTAAAATAGCATTTGTTTTTAAAAATTTCATAAATTATATAAGTTTAATTTAATTGTAAAATATGCATAGATTTATTAAATTTAGCTGGAATAAGTAATTAATTGATTATTAAACTATTTTAATTAATCAATTTTAACCATTTTCCTTGAAGATCATCACATTCCAGCAAATAAATATTTAAACTAATCTCAAATACTGTTAAACAATATGAACTATTTGTTTAAAAGTTTAAAGAATTTCTTTTAAGCTCTATAATTTGATTATCTAAAAGATAATTCTTAAATGTCTAATCACATATAATTTCTTTAGAATATGCATAGCAAATTTTTACTTCCTCTTCGTCGGCACTTATAAGTTGAAAAATATTTTGAAAATTCTCCTAAATATTATAAACTTTTTTAAGCTCTACTAAGGATTAAGAAAAAGATTGAATTGATTATTGAAAAGTGCTTGACTAGAAAAATTTTTCTTCATTAAAAGATGGAATATAATCGATAGGAATCACTATTGATTATGCTTATAAAGGATAATTTTCATTTTTGGTTAACAGTAAATCAACTTTATCACATATGGATCTTGAAAATCTTAATAACAGAATTAATAGTGGTAAAAACATTAAATAAATAAATTTCAATATTAAATATAATAAACCTATATTTATGAAGGGACTCTTATTGTAAATCAAATTACACAGAATTGTAAAAAGTACATGGGAATAGAGAGCCTCTAGAATAAAAACATAATTTTGCTGAAATATACATACAATTCTATAAATATCGAGCATTGAATTGCAATAGATCCATAAATATACGCTATGCATTTTATTAAATTTTTTTAAGTAAGTAGGTTTATTTGTAAGAAAGGACTCCATTCAATTTCCTTAGTAATCTTCTTAATAGCCTGAACAGATTTCACCATTATTTCAATTAACCATGCTTTGTTGCTAATATATTGGCAGTTATTACTATTAAATTCCTTAGAAAGTGAGAATTACGCTTAAATAGCTTCTAATTCTTTAAATAAAGAGTCACTTTCAGAAATCACTTAAAATTTGTTGATAAACAATTTAAACAGAAACTTTATCTCAGATTTTTATCTTCCATCTGCTAGAATAACAGAATTGTATTTTCAGTCAATAATCTTTTTCCTACAAAATTTAATACTTATATGATGAATCAAAATATGAAATTACTTTTAATACTCTAAACCAACAGTATATATGACTTCTCTATTTACATTAGATGTATTGAGGGTATTCTTTGATATGCTTCATATTTGTTTCATTATCAAAAAAAGTTGATCTCTAGTTCCCAAACTTATTAAATAATCTCTCTAGGTATTTCTTTCTTGAGTGACTTTTTTTATCATTTGGGCTGACAAGTAATTTTAATATTCCATTATTTTAATAATTTTTTGGATAATATAAAATCTCTTTTCTTCTACTATTATATTTAATTAATTGAATAATAACTCATTTATAACTATATTTTTATTGAAATCAAGATCAGAGTCACCACCCAATTACTCAATTAATTATCCCAAGATTCATTAACTTTTTTTTATTGTAATTAGGGAATTCAATAAATAAACTTTTTGAAACTTACTCTATTTCTAAATAAAATAATAATTAGGCTTTAACTATTATTATGGAGTTTGAAAATTCAATTATCATGAAACAGGATTATATTTCATCAATTTCACTGGTGTTTTTTAATAAATAATTTTTTGAAAAATTTTTCTTCTTGGAATACCTTTAATTTAAGTTTCATCTTAATTTTATTATACTTATAAATCTTCCCATCAATTTTACATCTTTAATCTTCTTTATAATGAGCTATTCCAATGATTTTTTTTAGAATTATTTGTTCTATCTTTCAATAATCCAATATTCAAAGACCAACGATTTCCTAATTTTTTATGAGCTTTTATAATAGTTTAAACTTCTTCATCTGTCCAACTATCCTTATTAATCTTAAGATCTGAATGATTATGAAATCTATTATAATAAAAGTATAAGAGAAAAATTGAAGAAAATTGCTTCTGCTAATCGACCTATAATCAAACATTAAAAATAACAGAATATAATTATTGGAACAGCAATATAAGATATAGATATTTATATCTATTATTTAATGATAAATACATTTTTTTTTGTTTAAAAAAATAATTGGAAAATCAAGAATGGAAGGAATTATAAGGTCAAACTTTCAGCAATAAAAGGCTAATTATTTCATCAATGATTTTTTCTTTAAATAATAATTTTTCAATTAAAATTGTGGTTTAAATTTGAAGAATCTGTTATTTATACTGTCATCTACAAACAAACAGAAATTTTGTTCCCTAAAATTAATATCAGAAACTAGTATCTAAAACTAAATTTTGAATAATAAATTCAGAACTTTTAGACGAAATATTAGTTTAAAAAATAGTGATTTAATTCATAAATATTCTAAGATTAAAATTCTTTGAAAGATATGCTCTTCAAGTATTCTTATACATCTAATGATATGATTTAACTCTTTGGTTTTTAGTTTAATGAGAATTTCATCAAAAAGGAGCAATTGGCTTTAAATAATTAGCATAAATTTGATTAATTAGTTGATTTGAATTAAAAATTTTAAAATGCAGAAAGATAAGAACTATTCAAACTAATACTCATATATTCATTAATATTTGACTTCAAAAGCTTAAATTAATTATAACCAAAGAAACTAGCAAACTCAAATATTAGAAACAAATGGTTAGGTAAAAGATATGTTCTTATATATGATATATCACATTTTTTCTACTTTTCAATAATCATATTCCACCTCTTCTCGTGTTCTATTATTCTTAATATCCATATCCATCCAAATACCAATCTTCCTGCCATTAATATTGTATTCTCCATTATGAGTGACTTATTTTGAATTAGTGAATCCTTCATCCAATTCTATCCACTTTCCAATCTTTTTCTAATTTCCTTCTTAATCATATAATCCACCGCCACTAAATATACTTATTTAATAGTTACATTTATTTAAATGGCTCCTAACTGCAATATCTAAACTTAACATCCCATCTACCTATCTTCAAACCATTCATATTATATTCACCATTATAAATGACTTATTTTACATCCCAAAATCCTTCATCCAATTCTATCCACTTTCCAATCTTTTTCTAACTTCCTTCTTAATCATATAATCCACCTCCACTATATATTTCCTTATACTTATATAACGTTTACATCCAATCTCTAAAACGTATAATATCCCATCTACCCACCTTTATACCATGAATATTATATTCGCCATTATACGTGATTTAAGCATATTTTTAGAAACCTTCAAACAATTCTACCCATTTTCCAATCTTTTTCTAATTTCCTTCTTAATCATATTATCCACCCCCACTATAAACATTATACTTACATATATTTTACATATATTTATTTAAACCACAATTAAACCATATATCCCAAATACCCACCTTCATACCTTTCTAATTATATTCACCTTTATAAGTGACTTATTTTGAATTGAAGAACCCTTCATCTAACTCTATCCATTTTCCTGTCTTCAATCCCTCTTTATAAACGCCTCCACCTCTAATTATTTTATTAAACAATACATCCTTGTATTTTTGTAAATATATATCCACCTACCTAATTTTTTTTCACTATAATATTCACCTTCTTAAAATACAGGGACATGACTAATGATGTTAATACGTTAATATTTACCTACAATAATTCTTAAATAAGTCTTTCCAAATACCAATCTTCTAACCACTTTCTGAGTAATATCCTCCAATAGTTTAAAGAATTTATCCGTTCCAATCCACAGTCCATTTAGCAATTTTTTGCAGATTTTTACCATACTTTCCAACCCATTAAAGATATTTTATTTATTCTAAATTATCAAAAACTTCATCATTTAAAGCAGAAAATTTTCTATTTCTATTGTAATAAAATTAGGTTTTACAATCTTAATATTTATCCATCATAAACATCTATGATTTCAATTCTTTTATCTAATTTTAGTAAGTATTCCTTTGTTAGCCATCTTTGCTAAAAAGAATCGAAACACAAGCATTTAAATTATCTGGATTTTATTTTCATACTGTCGATTGCCTCTAATGACTGATCTCTGAATTGAATTAGATTATTGCTTTTACTTAATAATTTTATTGCTTTTCTTTGATTCAAAATTTTGATTTGCACATATAATTCCCATATTATTTTTTCAAAGTTAATAAATTAATGATTTTCTTTTTTTCAAATAACATAAAAAACCTCAATATTGATTAAAAAATGTTCCTTGTTAAGCACTCATTTTCTGCTTTTAGTGTTTAAGAGACGTAAGAAATATCTGAAAATTTGATGATAAAAAATCTTTTCATATTTTTTGATAATTCATGTCAAAAAAGCTCTTTATAATATCCTTAAAAATGAATTAAAATCTTAACGCTTTTACTGTATATAATTATTTCTCATCAACACATGAGGCTTTAGCATTTTGATATTTCTCATTTTTTAATGTGTTGATGAATCATTACTTAATTAAGTAGTTAGCGACACCTAATTCATTTTTATTGTTCTTATTTTATAAGAATTTTTGTAAATTAAAAGATTCTTTCTGTTTTATAATTATATAAGGATTTTTGTTTTACTGTTTATCTCTATGCTGAAAGAAAAATTTATTGATATTTAAACTTAACCGATTTTTACCTTTATGATTAGGTAATATTTTGAGATAAATCTCAATGAATTGCAATGTTGTTTATGACTGGTTAAAATTAGTTTCACACAAATTTTCTAATCATGTAAATAATATGATGTTTAGAAAAATTAAATAAAGTATTGTTTTTTTGAGTTTGTTTTGGTTTCAAAATTGCGTTAAAAAAAGAGTTTTTTAAATCAATAACTCTCATCCTGAAAGACTTTGTTTTTCTGATCAATTATTAGCTAACATTTCTAAATAAAAAAATATACTATAATTATCTTTGATGAATTTTTATTTTATCATATTTAAAGCAAATAAGTTGCAATTATTTTAAATAATTAAAGTTAATTTATTAAGAATTCTTATATAAATATCATTTAAAAAATTCTAAAATTGTTTTTTTTTTATTTAAGATTTCTCAAAATTATTTCTTAAAAATAAGATCTTTTTGCTTTTCATATTCAGTCCATAAAAATTCTTTCACTCTCCCTTCATAATTTTAATATTAATTTTTCATGGAAATGTAAACCATTGATTGCATCTTAATCAAGTTAAATAATAGTAGTTTCCTAAACTTGTATGATGAATAATCATTTCAAGTTATTAAATATTGCTAATAATTTTCTGTTTAATCCAAACTGTTTCATTACGTTTATATTTATATTATGTAAATATGTCCTTAATATAGAAGTAACTATGTTAGCAATAAAGTCTTGGGATTATAGGAAGCAGAATGATAGGATTGCCTTTTGTAATTTGGTTAATTAGTTTAACAAAATTTTAGTTATATCTAATATTTGATACTTTTAATGGGGAAATAATGATATTGTAATCTAAATTGTAGAATGAAATAGAAAGGATGATTTATAAGATTTTTTCGGTTATTACAATAACATTTAAACCAAGTCTGCTTGTTTGCTACTGTAATTTAAACATAACAACACCTCATAATATTATCCAAATACTTTTAGATTACAATTTTTATTCCTAACCATAATGAGGTAAATAAATGTATAAATATAATGTCTTAACAAAACGTATGGGCAAAGCAGTAATCATTGTTGTGTATATATTACTAAACTTTTAAAATCAACTAACCTTCTTTACTGATAACAAATATTTTATATTACTATAGAAATAATAATAATGCTTATATTTTGTATAAGTAATTGCTTAAGCCTCTTAATATTATAATAATTCTCATATTTATTCCAAAAAACTTAATATTTAAAATTGCCACCTCTATTGAAGTAAGTTTAAATAATGAAATCGTTTCTAAATAGATAGTATTCATTATCATAAGTTATTCAATATAATCGTATGTGACTTATATTTTTTTGGAAAAATCCTTTACCTGCTTACCAAGAATAATATTTGTAATATTTCTAATTTCCCCTTAGATTAACCCTTCATAAGAGATAAACAAATTTGTTTAAATTCATAATTTAATGATAATTTTTATAAGCATTTTTATTCATTGAATTAATAATATGGATCGTTATATTTAACCTTTTCCATTAAACCTCTTCTTGTAGACTACATTTTTAATTAATCTTTTATGTTTCTTCATGTAATTTTAACAGAAGAGAAAGGGTTTTGAGTAGATGTGTCTATGATATATAATTTCTTAATATTATAAATGAGTTTTTCTATTATTTTAAATTGTAAACTTTAACTTATAGATTATTTTTAATATTATTAAAACTAAGCTTTATTATAATATATTTTAACAATTGAATCAAATCTTTTTAATATTAAGTTTTTTATTTTTTTATACTTTGACACAGCCAGAATGCATACTCAAAAAATTTGAAATCCATTTATAATAGCTCAGCTTCTTATTTTATTATGCTTTTAAATAAATATAAAAATAGGATAATTTATTGAAGTTTGATTTGAAAAGACTATATTTATTGAAATAAAATTATTTTATTCAAGCTATTCACTTAATCAAATTCAATTTAGCTTTGTCAAGAAAATACTAATCCAATTTAAGGAAAGCTTGTGTTTCTGCTTTAGTTAATAAATTACTATGATAATGCAAAAATAAGAAAAAAGTTTAGTAGATTAAGATTAGAAATGTTTTTATTATATGAAGGGCATTTATTTAGAGTTTTCAAGTAAGAATAATAAATGCATTTTTAGAGATATTATAAAAAATATAAAAAAAGTAAAAGTTGAGTGTAATAATTAGTAAATAAGAATAGACACTTTCTAAAATAAATTAGATCCTAAACTGTTACAAATCTGTTATGACAATCACCCCTATTAAACCAACAGAAAATATTCACTTTTAAATTGAAAACCAAGATAAATCTCTCAGTTTCAATAGTTTTCTTTACACCAAACATAGATTATCTTAAAAAAAATGCTACTGATCATAATCCATCTTTTAATAATCAACTCAATATTTTCATAATTCAATGTTGGAAATGGCTCAAAAATTTATTTGAAGAATTTCTGAAATAGAAAAAATAAATTCTTTATCAACAATCCAAAGATCTCTATATTAATTGTAATAATCATTACAATAATTCTGGTAAAGGCTTATATAATGTAACATTCTATACCAGATAAAGACATTAGCATTATGAATGATTATTTAATTTAGTTAAAAAATTAATAAAAAATGTCATGTAACAGTCTAAAATTTTCAATATATTTCATTCTTATCATACGTAATTTATATCAATTTAATATTTTTACAAAAGCAGAATATGATTAGCAAAAGGCAATAGCGGCAAAAATTAGTATAGATACAATAATCTCCAAGAATAGGACTATAAAAAACACTTGAGTGGGAAACTTTAGAATAGATGCTATCACATATTATAGTAACCCATATTATAATCAAGCTCCATCCAAGCCACTTATGAATTTAGAAAAGCATAAGACTTTCGTAATTAAGCCATTTAATATAAATCTTCATTCAATTATATACTTTAATTTTAATAATAATCATCATCCTATCAATAAAATTAATGATCTAATTTTATACAGACTAAGATTAATAAAATAATTACTATTAAGAAACCATAATACTAAATTTTCTGAATCATTCTCAAGGATTTAGTTAATCATTGCCTCTATTTAACCTTTAGTTTCTAATTCGAAAAATCTATTAGAAAACCATCTAAAAATATTCCTAAATGAAAAGTCGTAATTCTTGATCCAATTTAGTTCATCAAAAGCTAATAGTTTTTATAGTTGCTCAATTGATTCTTGATAATTACCTTGTTTAAATATCAAGAAGCCTATTTCATTAATAAGGTTAATTACTTTTTACTATTTCAAATAATCTATTTGATGGCCCATTGAGATTTAATTCATCAAAATATTGAATTATATTTTTGTTATCAATATCATCTTTTATGTTCTACATAATATTGTTTAAATTTTCAATTAATTTAACCAGAAATACATTAGATAGCATTTTTAACTACATTAATTCTTTATACTTCTCTTATGCCATCAAATCCCTAACTATCAATTAAATATATTAATTACTATTTAACCATTAATAGAATTGTTTATTAGGATTATTTTTTAGTATATTTTAAAAAATTTCTTCTTTTGTATCGTTATCCTGGTTTGATAGTAAAATCGCTACAATACTTTAGGGATCCCTGTTTTAAATTACTTTCACATGTTACTGTAATTGTTCATCTTTTTCTCTACCATCTCTAATATAATCCATTAAACAGCAAAGATTTTCGATTTAATTAATACTATCTTAGTTTTGAAAATCATTTATCGTTTAATCAAGGGCTATATATGATTCAAGAAATTTCCCTTATTTAAATAAATATTTAGCTATTAATAATTGAATTTTATTACTTTATAAATTTTAGACTGAAAAATTTTTTGGGTCAATTATTAGCATTTGATTTATAATTTTTTATATTTCTTACCATTAATCGTCTTGCTTTAATAATTCACCTAAAATAAATTAGAATTTCTTACATAAAATCAAATAGGCTTATATCTTTTCGGAATCGTTGAGTTCTAATCTTGTAAAAATGCTAATTTTATCATCATTATTTTCAAATTTTTCTTCAATAAGGTACTTAATATCCCTAATATCCTCACTAAGATAATGTTTCAGTGGATTAAGTCGATTCAAAAATTTGATTATTGTTTAAAGAGAATCAGAAACATTAGGCTCAACTTCTTGTTTTTCTTCTAATAATGTAATACACATTAATTCTAAGGCTATTAAATTATCTTAATTAGCTTATAGAATTTTATTAAGTTCTGTAAATTTAGATTTCTGATCAAATTTCCTAAAATAAACATTAATCTTATTAATTAAATCACTCAAAGGGTTTTTTAAATTTTAATTTTTAAATCTTTATTAATAATTTTTATTTGTTAAAATTGAGTTTACTGTTTCAATAGCCTCTCTAAAATTATTCTCCTTAAGTAAGTATTCACCTATATTTTATTTTATTCATTACATTTTATACTAACTAGAGAATAAATTAATGGATTTTTATTCAATATAATTTCTAAATTTTCTAATATTTCTTTTTTATTATCTTATTAGCTTTGCTGAAATTATTAATTCTTTTCTATTAAATATCGAGCTATATAAATAAAATATTTTACTCTTGAATTCTAAAGCAATTACATTATCAGGTTAAACTGTTAGAATATACGTATAAAATGACAATTATTCAACATTACCTAATTTTGACTAAATCATCTTTAAAAAACTTTTTTTAATAAATTTTATCAATTAATTTTATTCTTTATTTTTGGTTATCAAGAATAGTCCCTTAATAGCTTTCATAATAAAAACTCTTTCTCTTATAGATTTCTCTTATTCATTATCAATAAAATTTAACTTAAATAAGAAAAATAATTACTATCAATTTTAATTTATCTTGATGGTTTTGATCAAAGTTATCGTCAATATATTTAAATAACCATACTCTTTATTCAAATTTATCTTCATTTTCCTTTAATATTAAAACACCTAAGTTTAAAATGCAAATACATTCTACAATTTAAGCTATAAAATTATTGGGATCCAACTAAAGTAACTTTGCTATTTTTCTTCTACTGCCATATAATTCCTAATATATTATTTTATAAAATAATTTTTTCTCTTTATCCAATATTTTCTCAGTAGGTGCATGAGTTTCTATCATTTAATTTAATAATGTTATTGCATCCTTACTTTTACCCAGCTAGATTAAATATTTACCTAGAATTTCTAACAAATTTACATGCATTAAATTACTATTAAAAGTAATTTGGCTCAAATTATGATATCTACTACATAATTTTGTCGGCTTCTCTATAATCTTTTTATTTAATTAAATGAACATCTAAAATATTTTATTTTTTTACATAATAACTCCAAAACAATTATATTTGATGGATCATTTTTTAACCATTTAGTATAAAAATCATGTATCTAATTTTTATCAAATTCTGAAGAAAATTACTACAATAATTCAAGCTTCAATTCTAAAATCTCTTAATTTTAATTTAATTTAAGAATTTTTTCAAGAGTATATAATGCTAACTTGAGTTTATTTTTGTTTATTAGACATTAACCTAATTTAAAATTAAAGTGTGCCTTACATTTTAGTATTAGTGCTGTAATATTTTTTGGATTAAATTATAATATTAGTTCATATATATCCATTTACTCCTAATAATCTAAGTTTTATAATTAGGAATATAATTTTTTTTTCGATTCCCTAATCAATTTATGTTTCTTAATTATCTTTTACATTTAATCAAACAGAAGGATTACTTCCTCATATTAATTCTAATCTCTTAAAATACCAACTAAAATTTTATCAAACATATACATTTCTTTTCTAAAGCAATCAAGTTGTTGGGTTCATTTTTCAAAATTTGATTGGCATATTTAAGGGTTTCCTCTTTATTTTCAATACTATATAACATTTTAACTAAACAATTTTAAATCTGTTTACCAAATGATATCCAAAAATCTACTTATTCATCTGAATCATTTTCTGTTTCATTAATTAATTTTTTTGCTTTATCTTTTTTATCATCCATTTAGTCTAATATAGCTTTGTATTAATTACTTATTAATATTTTGCATAAATTCATCCATGAATCCTTCACCTCTAATTATTTTGCTTTCTTATATAACTAATATGCTTCACCATTTCTTTCCAAAATTATTAGGGTAACAACTAAGAATATTTAATTTCATTACTTTAAATAAAGAAACCATATGTGGTTGCTTCAATTTCGAAAGCTTAAGAATAGGCAGCTAGAGCTTCTTCATTTTACCACAATTTTCTTAAGCATTCGGCTATTTTATATATAATGATTACCAATTTATAACTTGATAAAATTATTATTTTTATCATTGTTTTGCGCTTCCTTATACAACTCTAATGCTTCTTTGTAATTGTGTTATTTTTGTAAACATTAAGCTAAAGATATATATGGTATTACCTAATCCAAATTTGGCATTAAAATTCGTTTTTTTTATATATAGACTTTTTTCGTAGAATATTTTTGCTTCATCTAAGCGATTTAGTTTTAATAAATTATCTCCTAATTTACAATAATTTGCGTCATTCCATATATTTAGTTCATTCTCTTCATCAAATTATCCTAAATATTCTTGGATCTCTTTTGATTTTTTAACACAATGTTCTTTGATATTCTAATATAAATGTTAAAATTGAAAAGAAAATTGAATGGCATCACAAATTAATTCTTGACTTGCTATATTATCTGGATCAGACCAATAAAATTTCTATTCAATTCCATTGATCATCTCATTAATCAAATTACAAAATTCTTTTGATGAATTTTCGGTTAATAATTTCAATTCGAATGCCATCTTCTTTTAATCAGTAAAAAAAGGGCCTAACAATTCAATTTCTAAGACATTTTAAAGATGAGTGATGTGCTTACTTTCTTGATTGCAAAGAGAGCAACATAACCTCTCCTCTTTACAATCTGGTTAACTACACCACATAATAACTTATTTTTGATCATGCTCCTTGCATGAAAAATTGATTTTCAAATCCTTTTGATTTTATTAAATCATTATTAAACTAATATATTTTAATATGAATATAATTTGAATTTAAGATTAGAATCAACAATAATCTAGGATCCCCTATTTTAATATTTATTTTGGCAGTTGGTGAAAATATTGAAAATAATCTCAACCTTCCTATCTACTCGTGTCCAGATGTTTCAGCTTCAGTTTCTTTCCTGATCTGCCTTTCTTACATATCTAACCTACGCTTCTATGAAAACTAAAAATTCGATTATAAAGGAGAAGAGGACCTAAAATAAAATTTATATGTGGTAATAATTTTAATATATATTTTCAATAAGAATTTAATTAATACTTAAGCACATAATAATTATTTAATCTGTAAATGTTGTAAGGATATTCTAATAAGTATTAGAAATAAATTTAATGAATCTAACTATTGATATTTCCAATTTTCTATTAACTATCCTTCTATTTATGAGACTGCATAGCATTTAGTTTAAATTAATTATACTTTCTAGTTTTACAAAGTGTTCAAACTATAAATATAAAGGTAATTAATATTTCTTAAGAAATTAGATAGACATTTTAAAATAATTTGTTTTTATTTAACATGATACAGATGAGCTTATTTTGAATAACTCTTTTTAAATGATTGTTTGATTCAAATTCGCAGAATAAATGATAATGCTATTTTATGATAATTATATATTAAAGCAATATTTTTAATTATTAAATATCCATAAAAAAGACAGCATACCACAACAACATGAAGTTATGAATTTGTTTAGCTGTAAATTTATATTAGAATTAAATTATATTATTGTACTATTTCTTGGTGAGAATTACAATTGTATCAGTTGATTCCATTTGTGAAGTGTTCAAAAACAATCATAACACCAGATTTAAGGGAGAGATTAATCAATTATCATTACTTGTTTATAAATTATTTAAAGATTTATCATAAATTCAGGAAAAAGGACAAAATGAAATCCAATATCAAGACCTATATTCAATAGCTTTTCTGAGTCATAAAAACTATTGATAATTTATGAAATATTTTTTAGCCTTTCAATTTTATTACATTTTTTCTTCTAAAGAATTGAAAATTCTAAAACTTTAGCTTATGTTTTTAATTGAGAATAGATTTTTAATACAATTTTAATCTTGAGATTATTAAGCTACTGAAGGTTTTTAATAATCTAATCTAAAATTATTGTAGATCATTGTTATTTGCATTTCATATCTTTAATTTTAATTAATATCTATAATAAAAAACTTTAATTCTAAGTATTAATTACTGTAATACTCATCGATTTTCATATGCTATATTCTGATATTGGTCTCAATCCTAAAAAATTTTTATTGATTCTACATCCATCAGTTTTATTCAGTTTGTTTAAATTTTTATCTGAATCAAAATCAATAGGTTGCTGTAGAAAGTCAAAATTAGTCTTTCTTTGAATACTCAAAGATTATTACAAATAACAAGTTATTTATATAAAATATTTGAATTACTTAATTTAATCCTCCATTCTATTTTATTGAGATTATACGTTCTCGTATTTTAAATATTTAAACGTATTCTAATACATCAGAATTAGAGTAAGGAATATAATTGTATTAAAATACTAAACAGTTTAAAGGAGAAGAGAAAAGCCGTTTTTAAATTTCTCTAACGCAGAATAGATTAAATGGTTGTAGTTATCCCAAAGAATTTTAAATTATCTATTTTGACCGTAATAGTAAATTGATAAACAATTCATTTATATTATTATAACCGTAACCAATTTTGAATTAATCAAATTCTTAAAATATTTAATGAATTAATGATAAGCAATTGTAGTATTAAATTAATGATCAATCTTTTTTTCTTCTAATGGATTATTTAACATATATTAACCAATATTCATTAATATATTATTAAAGTCATCTAATTTTGTAGATATCATAATACAAGATAATAATTAGGAGGAAAATGGTGGTTATTCTTCAAGTTAAATATCTAAAGAATTAAAATTTAATAAATGTATATTTGTTCTTTTGGATTTATTACTCTTTATCCAGATGCTTTAGGTTTTAAAAATCAAGTTTTATATTATAGTTCTTTAATGAATAAAGATAGATTTATTAATTGAATAATAAAAAATAATAGTAAATTATTTATCTATTCTACGATAATTGAAAGTAAAATGGCTAGAAATTTACTGCTTTAGATTATAATTAATTTTATAATCCAACAGATTATGTTCTTCTTTTTATCAATTTCATAATATCTTCTGTGATAATATAATGAATCTATACTTAAATTTCCTTTTCTATTCTTACTTTATTTCTAGATCTAAAATTCATAGAATTACCTGATTTTATGGTTAATATAACTAATAATTTTATCTAATTTCAAACTATTGATTTATATATTCAAATTCTAAATTAACATCATCTTTTAAAAATATTTAATCTCATGTATTATATTTATAATTATCTTTTTTTCTCTTCCTTCTCTTCATTACATTAAACAACCATCAATTACAATCTCACCCTCTGTTTATTCTTAAATTTATTATAGATTCTCGTCCTATTTTTTAAGAGATAACTAGACTACTTTAAGAAATGCATTCTTAATTTGAATTTGAGGTACGAAGTTTTTTAATTAATTAAATTAACTTCTTTTATTTTTAATCTATATAATTAATCATTCCAAATACCATAAATATGTTGGAACGAAATTTTTATGCATGGTTTAATTCTTCTATTTATAATCCCTGAGTTGATCATCAGTTTATTTATTATTTAAAGACATTGAATAATCTTAAATGATAAATCTTGCATCCTCGCTTGTAATCGTATTAAGTATTTCCTTCTCTTGTGTTTCATAACTTACAAAATAATTATAAACCTTTCAGGGAATATCAATTAAACATCTCTTCTTATTCCAATAAATTTTTCTCTTAATAAATTTTATATATTCTGAAAAATTGTTAAAAAAATTTGTATTTATATACATTAACTTATTTTATTGAATTTACAATAAAAAATAGTATAAATAAATGATTAATACTTTATTAAGATTTTAGCTAGATTTGATAATAGCGTTAAGTTTTTATTGATTCTAAATGAATACTCTTAAGTTCTTCAATATAAAATAGTTATTTAGATTTGTAATTTATCAGCATCGCGAATATTTGAAGTCAACCAGATTGATCATCCCTCAATTAAAAAAAAATCTTAATTGCTCTAAATTTCCGCTTTGATTTTTACTTTAGCAACAATATTCACTTAAAACTTAAAATATCCTCTTTATTTACAGGAGTTAAAAAACATCTCAATGTAATCAAGATTGTTAATATCAATTTTAACATTGTTTTTAATAGATTAATAATTAATGTTAACCAATTTGTGGAGATGGTAACCTAATTAGTTATGAAATTTGTGAATTAGATTAATAATATGATAATTAAGAATCTAAAATATATTAATGTACATTATCAGTTATTCATATAATTAAATATCCCTAAAATATTCAATTTCTGAAATTGTCCTACTGCTAAGTAAGGATATAAAATTTATTACATTATAATAATAATATTATTTATTAATGTTTTTAAAGTTATCCTTTTATTATGATAAAGGCTAAGAAATTGTCTCTTTTATTTTACAAATATCTAAGATAAATTCTGATAAATATAGAATTTGTTAAATATTAAAATAATTATTTATTTAATTAATTTATTTATCGAAAATTATTATAAACTTAAACAAAATAAGAAGTATTATATTTTAATTCAAAATGAAAAACACATTACATTGAATTGCATTAATTTATTGGTTAACAATTATTTGAATTAAGTATTTTAAATACTTAATATGTTTTTTGTAATCCTATATTGACTTAAAAATAAATATATTTTAGATTATTTATGCTCAAAATATTAACCCAATTAAATCAAAATCTTTATTAATATCAATTTATCAATAAAGTATTTTTAATGTAGCTGCAAATCCCTAAAATTATTTATGAATATCAAAAAATCTTTTGCTGAAAGCACAGCAGTATAATATTCGAGATAGAAACCCATAATAATAATATATTACTATTTTATAGAGATTATTAAAATATTTCTAATAGTTTTTATAATTAGTTGTTGAGCTACAATCTTCTCTTTTTCAAAAAGAATTAATCGTACAAAAATTTTAATATCATTATTTATATCATTTGATCAGTTAAATTATTGAATGTTTATTGCTTTCTCGTTAATTTTACTTAATTAAATATCTGAAGATATTATTTTCTATTTAATTTCATTAAAACTAAATAAATATAACCAATAAACTTTAGTCTCAAATTTCATTCATACTCTTTTTATTTTTCAATATTGATTTATTTATGATAGTATATTTATATATTAAATATATAATAATGGAAGTATAATAAAACCAAATAAAATAGCCAGAATTTTATTATGAATTACAACCATAATTTTCAATCGATCAAAAAGAATGGTGCAATACTATTGCTATAAATGAAAATAAGTAATTAATTTTAGTTGCTTGTGATAAAAATGTTAAAATTTATTAATTAAATAATGGATTATTAAGATTCATCTAAATACTACTAAATAGTCAATATACAATTACAATTCTGAAATTTTTTAATAATAATAAATGTTTTTAATTTATATCAGGATCATGTGATAGTATTATAATAATTAGATCAATAATATTATTAAGAAATCAAAAATACATTTAGAAATTGAATTCACATACTAGAGGAATTAGTTGTTTAATTATAGGTTAAGATCAAAATATGTTTTTATCAGCCAGTGTAGATTAAACAATTAAATTATGGAGTTGTTTCTAATAATAAAAACTTAGTTGTTAATGGTCTTGCTAATAAACAATTAAAGATCATACAAATGATGTCTATGCTTTAGATATTAATTAAAAATAAAATAAAGCAATATCAGGTGGATATGATGATACTATATTAATTATGGATATAGTAAAATATAAGGAAAATTATTAATTAATTTTAAAATAAAAGATTAAAGTATCTAATTTTGGTTATAGAATCCTATTCATAAATGATTAAGATTTCATATTTTAAACATATTGTGGTAAGGTTCTTTAATTATTCAAGTTAAATTAAGATTAATAATATTTAATTACATAATAATTACCTGTTTAATGTATTAGCTAGAACTGTAATATATTTTTTTAGCCTTAATTAATAAGATCAAAAGATTTCTTTGCCTGCAAAAATAGTTAAAATCTTAATTTTATTAGGTTTAATCCTATAAGTAATGAACTAGTATTGTTATAATCTATAACATTTGATAATTAAGAATAATATGGATAATTGAGTGAAGATGGTGAATATTTAATTACATGGGATAAGAAATTAGAAAAATTAGAAATAAGAAAGTATAAAGTAAATAGTGAGTAAATTAATTGATTCAATATTTAATAATAAAAGAAAGAATACTATTTATTATTAAATGAATCTAATTTAATAATTATATTAAAACTGTTATTATCAATATTATAACTTATGAATATTTCTATAAAAAATGAAATATATTTGAAACTAAATTAAAAATTAATAAATATTTAAAATCTAATGTTCTAAATTTATAAGAGGTTATTTAAAATAGATTATTATTTTTACTTTAATAATCCGTAATGATTTTGGTTTTATTTTGAATTTATTCAGAAAATTGACAAACTGATATTTCTTTAGATTTAATAGAGAATATCAATATGGATAGGAGTTAAATTTTATAGGAAATCAATAATTATAAGTAATTATAATAATAACTTTAAAATTAAATAGGTAATCTATTGAATAATTAACTAATACAAAAATGTAAAAAATTAGTATAAAGTATAAATATAAATGAATAGAGGGAGACCTTTAATTAATTATTGAATATTCAATCTTTTATAGATTAATATACAGAGATGAAAGCAGATTGGATATGCAATAAATTCAATAATCAATTTATATGTTGATTTATCATAATAACAAACATTAGCTTGTCTTGAATGTGTTTCTGAATATATTATATATATACTAATTTAGAATAATTGCAATAAATGTGGTTGAAGCATTCTGATTGGGCATTGAAACTCATAAATATTTATTAAAATAATATATTCAAGTCAACAAGCATAAGTAATAATTTAACTGAAATAGTCCACAGAAGTTATTTTCAAATAATTTGAATACTTAATAGTATCCATTTAAACTAAATCATCATTAAATTATAATGATCTAGAATATCATCATAAACTACTTTTAAAAATACGGCAATAAATAGATAAAAAAGATCGAATTAATATTTTAGATCTTCTCAGTTCATAAAATAGATTAGCTCAAGTTAATCACATAATAGAATAAGAATTAATCCAAAGATTAACTTATTGATTCAATCATTACTTCTTAAATGCAGCAACTCTAAAATTTAATAAACTCTACTTTTTCATTAATAATTACATCCACTCCAAATGATAACCTTAATAAAAATAAGATTGAGGTTCAATCTTAAAGTCATTTTACCCTCAATTTTCAAGCCCTTTAGTTATGAATTAGTCTCTTAAATTAAGGATAAAAGAAATGTAATTACTTAAAGAGCATTCATATATTATATATTGTTTATATTTCACTTAAAAGTCTTCTTCTTTTTATCTGCTAGTTATGATAAGTAAATAATAATCTGGATAATTAGAAATAATGGTAGAGTTATCATTAATTAGAAGGTCATACTAGTTATATTTATTGTGTAATAATGAACAAATAAAAAGATTGTATCATATCTGGTAGATATGATAAAACTTTAAGTTTAGGGTTCAAGAGAATTAATTATGGAAATGCAATTAGACATTATCAGATCATACAAGTTATGGTTAAATGTTTATCATTGAACATTTCATAAAATTAATTGAAATCATGTTGATATGATAATTTATTAATAATAATCTCATAACATAATAATAAAAGATGGAACACAATATAAAAGATATCAGTTTAAAATTATGGTTATTAGTCAACCCGATTGCTGATTGGGCCTCTATCCTAAATCAACTATCAAGGTAAAAAAATTGATCATTAATCCAAATTAAATACTTAATTTTTTACAGAAATCACAATTGGTTCCATGAACGATGTGTAAATCATAGAACATATATATATTGATATATTAGAGAATTGCAAATCGGAAATGTTGATAGTTTTTGCAAAATATACAGAAGAGGAGGGTTCATAGGAACAATTAAGAAAGGAGTATTATATAATATGATAACAATATTATCTAATAATATATGACGAGGTTTTGAACAGAATATAGAACTCGGGCAGAAAGTATTAAAGTGTTTATTGTCTGACAGTTGATAACTGATGAGAGCAGAAACCATATGGACTATAACCATAAAGATGCTGTGTTCCAAAAGTTCTCTAAACAACTCTTGAGAAATTTAGTCTCTATCGGCGAAAACTTTACAAAATAAACCCTTAATCATAAGCTTTAATTTCCCTCCATCATCTTTATTATATGAGCTAAACGTTGCTTTGATTATACAGCCTCCTGGATTAACTAATAAATGTACCTTTAAACCGTAAAAACCTATAGTTTGCTTACTTAGTGCTACAATTCCTGCAGAAACTTTATTCATGGAAGGACGATAAAGATTACACAATTGAAGGCTACTTGAGTATATTGAATTAATAAGAGTTATTAAAGAAAATAACATTCAACAAATCAATAATTTACTTATTGAAGCAAAAAATCAAAATATTGATTAAATAAATTTCTACTAATTCATTAAGGAGCATGTACAACACAAAAGAATTATTTTTTGAGATTTTACAATCTGACAAGGAAAAATCTTGAAGTATTATTATTTAAAATGAAGCAGTTACTTCAATTAATATTATTAAATATATATAAATTTATTTGTGATAACCCATCAAATATGAAATAATAAAAGCTTAAATATGGAAGAAATTAGATATTCTAAAGGTGTTTAAAAACGATTGAGAATTATAGATAATATTGTTCCTTGATTGAATCTTTGATAATGTAAAAATATTGTTTTGAATAAAAATGGATAAGTTTTTTGGATTAATACAAAAGAAAAAAAAAGAATTAAAATGATTCAGAAAAGTTTAAAGAGTTAAAATAATAAATTAATTCTTCTAAATAAAAAAAATAGAAATACGCTAGTATAATTTTTGAAACAAATAAACAGTCTTTTAAAGACTAAAAAGTTCAGAAAGGCAAAAATTATAATATATTTTAAGGTTATGACTTAGGAATAATTAGAAAGGCAAATCTAAACTTAAAATCTTGTGGTTCGACCAGTAATGATAAAACATTTTTATCATCCACTCCAAAACTGTAATTGTAATAATTTGATTTCATCTTCAATAGACTTTAAGGTTTTGATATGGCTATTGTAAAAAGTTAGATCATTGATGTTGAATTATGTAAATAAATTGATAAGAGGCCAGGATATGATCATTTTTATAAAGGTTACACTTATATTCATATATAGGAATTGAACTATAAAATATGTCAAGATAAAGAGAAGCTATTGAGTAATTTGAAGAAGCAATTAAAATTGATCCTAATAATTCTTATTTTTATCAAATAAAGGGTTAGTAATAAATTTACAATTAGGTCTTGCTTTATAAGAGATGCATGATTTCGAAGCAGCTCTCAAACAGATTGATATTGCTATTAGTCTTAAACCTGATGAATCAAGATATTATGCCAATAAAGGTTGAATTTTTTTCATCTTTTTAATAGCTCTTATGTTACTTATGGATTCTAAATTTGAAGATGCAATTAAATTCTGCGATATTTCTATTTAAAAAAACAATAGATGTTCTATGAGTTATAAAGTTAAAGGTGAAAAATATAAATAATTTTTTAGGTTAATCGTTATTGTTATGTGATCGGTTGCAGGAAGCTTTAGAATGTTTTGATTCATAAATCAAGACTGCTTATTAGGAATATGAAGAATTAGAAAAATAAAGCAAAATTTAATTTAATTTATTAGGTTAAACTTTACATTCGCACAATCATTTTGAATGCTCTCAGTAAATTATGGATCTAGCAAGGAGATACCTTAAATCTAATCTCAATGATGCATATAACTTAAAAGGTTGAATTTATATTTAATCAGGACTGGCTTTAATGAAAATGAGTAAATTCTAAGAAGCTTTAGATAATTTTAATACTGCTTTATAGATATTTGATGATAATCAAATAAACCATTTGAATAGAGGTTAATTATAAATTTAATTTAAGCAACATTATTATTATAATAAGGCTTTTCTGAAGAAGCCATCAAATCAATAGATTCTGCTATTCAATTAAACCCAAATTTTTCAGATTATTATAATTTAAAAGGTTAAATATTTTATTATTTTATTAAAGCAATGGCTTTACTATCTCTGGGTAACCAACAAGAAGCCTTACAAAATATTGATATGGCAATAAAAATTAACCCTGAAAGATTTGAATATTTTGTTAATAAATGTAAGTAATTTACAATTAATTAGCAACAATTCTACTCTAAATGTAAAGGTTGTAAGAATCTCTATATTAGAGTGATTAAGTAATTTAAATGAATCCTCAATTCAGCCTTGCCTATTAAATGAAAGGTTATTTGATTAATCCTATATTAGCCTGCTCTCTAATAATGATGAATCGATATTAAGATGCTTTAGATGTTCTAAAAATCGCTATTTAACAAAATCCAGAAGATTTTATGATTCATAATAATATAGGTTTATATTCAAATCTATTTTTTAGCTAATGTCTTACTGGCATTGAATCGTTTTAAAGAAGCTTTACTATTTATAGATTCAGCTATTCAAATCAATCCAGAATCAGCTTTTCTTTATCGTAATAAAGGTATTGCTTCTCAGTATTTTAAAAGCTTTAATTTTATTTAAGATCAATCGTTTAGAAGAAGCTTTAGATTGTATTAATTAATCCATTAAAATAAATCGATAAATAAATTAACTAGATAACACAAAAGGTCAAAATTTTTCATATTTGTAGCAATGATTTTANAGCTCTTATGTTACTTATGGATTCTAAATTTGAAGATGCAATTAAATTCTGCGATATTTCTATTTAAAAAAACAATAGATGTTCTATGAGTTATAAAGTTAAAGGTGAAAAATATAAATAATTTTTTAGGTTAATCGTTATTGTTATGTGATCGGTTGCAGGAAGCTTTAGAATGTTTTGATTCATAAATCAAGACTGCTTATTAGGAATATGAAGAATTAGAAAAATAAAGCAAAATTTAATTTAATTTATTAGGTTAAACTTTACATTCGCACAATCATTTTGAATGCTCTCAGTAAATTATGGATCTAGCAAGGAGATACCTTAAATCTAATCTCAATGATGCATATAACTTAAAAGGTTGAATTTATATTTAATCAGGACTGGCTTTAATGAAAATGAGTAAATTCTAAGAAGCTTTAGATAATTTTAATACTGCTTTATAGATATTTGATGATAATCAAATAAACCATTTGAATAGAGGTTAATTATAAATTTAATTTAAGCAACATTATTATTATAATAAGGCTTTTCTGAAGAAGCCATCAAATCAATAGATTCTGCTATTCAATTAAACCCAAATTTTTCAGATTATTATAATTTAAAAGGTTAAATATTTTATTATTTTATTAAAGCAATGGCTTTACTATCTCTGGGTAACCAACAAGAAGCCTTACAAAATATTGATATGGCAATAAAAATTAACCCTGAAAGATTTGAATATTTTGTTAATAAATGTAAGTAATTTACAATTAATTAGCAACAATTCTACTCTAAATGTAAAGGTTGTAAGAATCTCTATATTAGAGTGATTAAGTAATTTAAATGAATCCTCAATTCAGCCTTGCCTATTAAATGAAAGGTTATTTGATTAATCCTATATTAGCCTGCTCTCTAATAATGATGAATCGATATTAAGATGCTTTAGATGTTCTAAAAATCGCTATTTAACAAAATCCAGAAGATTTTATGATTCATAATAATATAGGTTTATATTCAAATCTATTTTTTAGCTAATGTCTTACTGGCATTGAATCGTTTTAAAGAAGCTTTACTATTTATAGATTCAGCTATTCAAATCAATCCAGAATCAGCTTTTCTTTATCGTAATAAAGGTATTGCTTCTCAGTATTTTAAAAGCTTTAATTTTATTTAAGATCAATCGTTTAGAAGAAGCTTTAGATTGTATTAATTAATCCATTAAAATAAATCGATAAATAAATTAACTAGATAACACAAAAGGTCAAAATTTTTCATATTTGTAGCAATGATTTTAGGAGAAATGGGCAATTATTACGGAGCTTGCTAAGAAATTAAATAGAATTCAGAAAGTGTTGAAAATTTCCAACTTTTAGGTAAGATTTTAAAAATGAATTAGTCATGTTTTTACTTTAATAAAAGAAGTATCAAGAAGCACTTGATATTTTAGACTAAGCTATTTAAATGAATCCATTTAATTATACTAACTTTTTATTAAAAGGTGAATAATAATAAATTATTCAGGAATTGTATTATTATTCCTACAAGAGGGAAATGAAGCCTTAAACTAAATAGAAATAGCAATATAATTAAATCCTGAAAATAATTTTTTATTTTAAAATAAAGGTTAATTAAGATATTAATTTAGTCACTATTTTATAATTTTTGCATCGTAATTAAGAAGCATTAGACCTTTTAAATATTTTAATTTAGAATAATCATAGAAATTTTTTAACATATTACTAAAGAGGTAAAAAATAAATTTAAAATAAAAGCTTAAACTCTATTTTTAATGAATTCTTACAATGAAGCACTACGAGATTTGGATACTGCTATTGAATTAAATCCTAATTTTTATTAGCTTTTTTGTTTAAAAGGTTCAGTAATAATTTAATTTAAAAGCATATATTCTAATATTTTAAAATCATTTATAAGTTGCTTTAGAAACATGTGATTTAGCAATATCCACAAATCCTGAAAGATATGAAGGATATTGTATGAAAGGTTAAAAAAATTTATAAATTTATTAGCTTGTGTTTTAAATTTAATGAAACAGTTTTAAGAAGCACTTAAGTATTGTGATTATGGAATTTAATTAAATCCTACTATTTGGATACCATAGCAAATAAAAGGCACTTATTATATCATCATTATTTAATAGCTCACATTCTATTTAATTCGAAAAATTATTAAGAAGCTTTGAAATTTATCAATAATTCTATTCAAAATAATCCTGAAGAGTTAACAAATTTTATACTAAAAGGTTAAATATTATTTAATTTGATAGCAAATATACTAAAAGCAACACAACATTATGAAGATGCACTAATGAGTTTAGATGATGCTATTTAAATAAATCCTTCATCATCTGATGCCTACCATTAAAAATGTAAAATATAATATTAGTTCAGGCTTGACATTAGTTTTGATGGGGCAGTTAGAAGGAGCACTTGAAAATATTGAAATTGCTATTTAAAACCAACCTGAAAACTCATAGTTATTTAATAATAGAGGTATTCAAATAATTATTTCAATAGCATTTATTTTACACTGTTTGGGACATTATTCAGAAGCAATTTTTAATTTGGAACACGCCATAATATTAAGTCCTGAAATTTCTATCCTTTATGAAAATAAATGTAAATAAATTTATGATTTCATAGAATATTTAGAATCATAATAATGCACACCTGATGGCAAATAGCAAGTTCTAGAAAATTTATAATAGTTGATTAAAATATCTGACTAACAAATTTAAGATCAATTCCTTATCTAAAAATAATTATCGATAGAGCTCTTTGATCTATCATGCTTCTAGTTAGGCTTCAAATCGTTTGGCTATGATTTTATACATGAAGGAAACAAATGATTTAATATATATACAATGGTAAAAGTAAAAATCTTACATACCTTTTCCCTTTATTATGATATTATTAGGTTATAATTATATGAAAGTTGTACTAAAATTACATAGCCTACTACTTCTTAACAATATATTAGAATCCTAACAGAGGAATAATTTAAGATGTACTACCTAAATCTCAATCATATTTAGAGGAGCTTCTTTTTAAAGATGCGTTTTGCACAAAATTATTTTGCTAGGTTCATATGACAATTTTATGATATCAAATGTAAAAAGCATAAAATAATACCAAAACAAAGCCTTTTCTATTTGTTACTAAATTTTATTTTTTTCTAATAGTTGCTTGAAGAAAAGATGCAAGAAGAGAAATTTAATCTGCACAGTGATATTATTTGTATTAAGCAAGATATAATTTGGATACTTAAGCAATAAATAAGACAATCAATTACTTGGTTGAAAGATAAGATGATAGCATATTTAGAGAACAATTAACAATTAAAGAAAATTTATAAAATTGAAATAATAAATTGAGATCTACGTTTCAGAATGATATTTTCATTATTTATGATAAGAAATATTGTAAGCAATCTGCTTATTTTGGAAAAAAGCCATTGCTAAATGAGATATACCTAATATCCTTAAAGCTAAATATATACACCCCAATTGAAAAATTATACAAATAAAACAGCTTGTATTTTTAAATAACCTTTCTATTATTACATAATAAATTTTATTTACTATACAATATTTGTAATTTAAGAGAAATTATCTATTTTTTTTCTAAAAATTAATATAATTACAATGCTCTTATTGATGACGTCTAAATTATACTTATAATTATTAGAATTCTCATTTATAATGGGCATAAAAGATCAGATTGTGTAATGTTAGTTTGGAAGCTATTACAAATAAACCTTCAGATTTCTTATTATTGTGGATTGGTTAAAATATAATTTTATTTTTCTATTTTAGATATTTTTCCTTTCTCTCAAAAAGAGATGTTTCAAATTCGGTATGTTTCTCTTCCTTTTGGATCCAAAAAACATTAAATTTGGATTTTCTCCTTCATTATTTTAAGTATAGGATTTTTAGTTTTATCATTCCCTTTCCCTTTCTGTAACCAAGTACATTAAAAAAGATCAATTTATTAACATTTAAATTAGAAAACATTTTTATTATTTAATCAATGAATAAAATAATAGTAGTTATTTTTGGGAAGTAATAAATTTAATTAAAAAGACAATTATTTTTCTAATATTTATTACAATTTTTATTGCTGCTGCTTAATATATATCTGAGTAAGAAAATAATTAGTTTTCATCACTCTCAACTATTATTATTCTTCTTTGTCTTAAACTTTTCTATTCATTTATCGAGAGCATATTAGAAGTTTATTTTGTCTTTTTATTAACTTAGCTAACAATTACATAGTTATTTCACTATTATTTTAATAATATTTTATAACTATAAAAACATGTTTAATATAATATAATACTGAAAAATTGCTTTCAATTTTTTTTTTGATTTCATATAGGATAATAAATACATGAGTATCCTCTAAGCTATTTTGAAAATGGAAAACTTAGAAAATTTGTTAAACATAATTAAATATATTAAAAGAATAAAGCAAACGATTATTTTTTCTCAGATCATTTGCTTATTGCAATTTCTATTAATACAATATTAACAGAAATTTAATAATTATTTTATAAATCTATTTAATTTCTTAGTTTTATCAAGTAATTAATCAAAATTCAATGTTTTTATCATTCTTTTTTTACATTATTTATAATAATAATTATGAGAAATGTATTAAATTAAGTTCCTAAAAATATTTGATTTATGTAGAAATATCAATTTTAATTTAGTTGACGAACTCTTCTTAAGTATTTATATCTTGATACTACTCCTAAATATATTATAAGTTTTATTTAATTTATTGATAATCTTTTTAAGTTATACATTTAGAGATTTTAATTCATTATTTTTCAAGTTTTCTATAGGTTTTGAATATTCTTCGAATTTAGTTTTAACTTATGTAAAAGATTTATTCAATTAATTTTTTGAATTATCAGAATTTTCTTTGAATTTAGCGATTAGATTTTAAATCTATACAAATCCTTTAAGGTCTTCTTTTGCCATTAGTATGTTTCATTGGATCAGCAAAGCATTAAAGGTCTAAATTTGATTTTATAGTTTGAAAATTTCAATAATTAAAAAGAATAAAATTTTATTTCAAATTTAGTTTATAAAGATAATTATATGTTAGAGCTACTATCTAGGAAAGGTTTAAGATGAGAATTTTAAAAAATCAATCAGCTCAATTAAATAGTGTTAAATTTAATATAAATTTTTATTAAAACTGGTTCAATAAAATAAATGCAATTAATCGCAGTTTATATATACTGAAAATTTATTTTAGGGAAGAAAATTAGTATTTTTTCACCTAAAAATACTGATCAATTATATTTCCATATATTGATCGTTCATTAAGAAGGAGAAAAAAAATTAACCTACAAAATTTTTTTTTAATTCTAAAATAAATTTATTAAGCCTTGGTTCTGTAATTATTCTAATAAATTATTACCTAGCACTTAATTATTTCTATCAATAGTTATAGTTAGATCCTTAAAAATAATAATATTAATATCTATTTATGAATTGTTTTTTAATTTAAGAAAAAATAATTCTAATCTATAAATATAGAATATAATCAAATAATTTTTCAATCTGTACATCTTTACAAGTATGTAATCTATAAAAACTGTGCTATAATTTTTAGAATATTATTTATAGAAAATCCTAATTTAATAATTTAATTTAGTTGGACACTCAAATTCTAGCAGTATTAAATGGTTCATACAAAAAATTTGAATAAATTCAATTAAAAGTAATTTTAAAAGATCAGGCTTAGAATTATTGTTGAATAAAATTCTAATTGATATAAAAATTTTAGAGACAATTATTTAAAATGCTGAAATGACCTTAAAACATAATTTAAACTTAACAAAATTAATTTGTTTACATATTAAATAATTTAAGTAGAATTAATTATAAGAGAAGTCTAAACTTATTTATTTTTGAGAAACCAAATTACAAGTATAACAATTTTAAACTTATTATATTAAATATAATAATTAATTTTTAATTTTATATTGTTTGCTTTTAATAAATTTTATGTAATATAACTTGTAGTGAAAAGGATTTGGCCCATTAAATTTTAAAATCATACTTCAAAGTCAGTCATATCTGTTTTTTCAAATATTTATTATTATTGAGGTGTATATAAAAATAAAAGTTTCGAAATCTCTTTTATTTAATCATAATTCATAAATTGCAATATTATAATAAATTCAAAAATATATTTAGTATTATTGTAATTATTGAACCTTTGTTTATTTAATCCTTAATTTCAATCCAATTTTTACTATCTTAAATTCTTTATTCATCTACTAGGTTTATATTTTTTTTGTATTTATTCATTCTCAAAACAAGATATACTATTAAAACAATTATTCTGAGCCTTCATTTTCCAATGATAACTAAATAAAAATGGATCCAAATGGTTTTAATTAATTGCATCTGTATAATCCTCAAATAAAGTCCATGTATTTAAGACTAAAATCGATTTAATTGAAGAATTTATCACTATATTCTTAACTTGCACAATTTTATATTCCAGATATATTTTATTCATTATCTATACATTTAACAAAAATTATTATCAAATAATTATCCAGCTAATTATTCAAATCTACAATTAAAGTTTTATACTATCCATCTTCTAAAAAATCTAACCTATAAGCCTATTCTTCATTAGATATATAAAGTAATGGGATATTAATCATTGAGTTATTATCAAATGGATTTATTTAGCTATCAATTATATCAACCAATTAATGGGGATCTTTCTTTAAAAAAAAGTTATTCTAAATAACTTTCTTCACTAATAAGTTTTTAATATGTTGAAACTTGAGAGATCATTTAACTGATTCCCAATAAATAAATTAATTTATTGAGTAAACAATAACAAATGTTAGGACTATTATTGTTGCCATTTCACCCCAAACTGATTTATAAAATACTTTTTCTCTCTCAATCCGAATGAAGAACAAAGAGTCCATCCAATTTTGCAATCCTATTCAAAAAGGCATTCATTATTTTTTTTTTATTTAAATATTAATTTTAATACTATTGAATACGAGTTTTCATTTTTAGATTTAAAAATGAAATTAAAAACAAAGTTTAAAGTTTTTATGTATACTATTAATAAATATATAATCATTTATAATTATTTAGGAAAAGTGTTAGAAAGGGATATAATTGCACTAAATTTTCTGTTTTTTTCCTTTAACATGAGATTTATAATGTAATGGTATCAAAAATAAAATCAAATTATTACATTTCTACAAAAAAATAATTGTATCTTGAAAGGAAGAATTAATAAAAATTTTAATGATTTTTTACATAATAATATAAAATTTTTATGATAAAGTTCCTTATTCAAGCATAATACACATAAGAGCTTCTATTTGCAACTAAGGCATAATCGATTAATTCCAAATATTTTAGTGCCATTATTTTGCTCATTTTCAATCCTTATCTTTTTTAAAATATTAATGCATATTATGCAGGATGGATAGTATCATGCTTAATGTGAGCCTATATATTTGCATCCATCTGTAGGATTTCAAGTTTATAGCTGAGGAGAAGTATTATTTTGGATTTTATTAATAAGCAATCTTTTATGTCAAATATAGGTTTTTTTCATATGCAGTTGTTGGATAAATGCTGATGATTAGTAGTTTATTTTCAGTTGGCAGACTTCTTTTTGATTATAAAGAAATCCTTCATAAATATATTGAGTTATATAATTCAATATTTCCAAATCTAATAATTCACACTAAATAACATAAATATTAAATGATATTAAAGAATTTAACTTTTGATAAAGAATATAATAATAGAAAATCCACAATTTCCATTATAATAATCTCAAAAAAATGCAAAATTGACACCAGATGTAAATATCAAATTTATTATTAAATATAAATATTATTTCTAATATAAAAAATCTTTCCATCCTTTTACATTATCAATCTCTTGAAAATATTTTAATTAAAATTAATTATAAAATCGGATAATTTTGTCTATATTAAGATTAATAAATATGAAGTAGTAAATAAAAATAAATGGCTACTTTTTAACTAGATTTTTAATTTGATTTAATTATTTTAATTAATAAATAAATAATGAATTAATAATATTCTCATTAGGATACTTACATTTGCTTTGAATAGTAATGTCACTTAAGTAGAATCATTACAAACTGGGATTAATTAAAATTACATAATGAATTTAATCATAAAGTGATATCAAAACATAGGTTTGATAGCAAATTTATTTTTAAATTTAATCAGTTGAATGAATAATATCGGATAAAAGTTTAAGAAGATATTAATCAATTAATTTAATATTAAGAGGATAGAATTATTGTTAAAATCTAAGAATTATTTGATTTTTTTAAAAAGTATAATTATTAATGTAATATTCTAGAATGTAGTCTGATAGAGTTTAAAATTAAATTTACTTCGATTATTAATTATCAAATTCATAATCTATAGAAGCTGCTGTAGAAAAATATATTAAGATATATTATGGATAAATATAAACCCAATAATCGGAGTAAGAAGATATTTTTCTTGATTAACTTTAGACTAAATTAAATTTATTGGAAGATAATTTTATAAATTTATTAGAAAAGTATTTTACAATAGGTAACCAATATTTTAATAATGCTCAAACAGAGAAAGCGGCAGAATTTAACGATTCAACACTCCCTGAATCAAAAACTACTCAATCTATTGGAGTATAAGAATATATTAACCAGACTGAATTTATATCAAATAAAGTAGAGTAAATGAAAATACAATAAATTTAACAAGAAACATATTAAATTTTACATGATGAAAATGTTTCATAATAATATTCTACTTTAAATTAAAGTCAATAAATTGAATAGGATGATCTGAACAATATTCCTTTAAAAGGATATAAATAATATCAATTTTAATAATAAAACTATTCTTATCCTACAAAAAATATTTTACAAAATGATGATGATGATGACAGATTGAAATTTTAATTACCATCAGAATTAGTCAATACTTCCAATAATTCTAATTAAATATCCAATAAACATAGTTCAGATCACACAACTGTTTAAAAAACACAAAAATAAGAAAATATTAATACTTCATAAAATTCTAATAAAAAATCCAATAAAGATAATAAACAATATGAATATGTACCAAAAACAGAAGCATAAGATTATATTGTTGTAGATAATCCTAAATAATTGTAACAAAAGAGGTATTCAATCTTTTTGTTATTTAGAATAGAAATATCTAAAAATCATCTTCTTAAAATATATTTTTTGGGAAGAAGTTTGATTTAACTAATTCATATCAGAACCTCAATTTTTCAAAAAATATTCAAGCATTTTCCTGTGATCAGTAAGGTATTGGTTTGATTGATGGAATATTAACTTTATAAATAGATGCTGAAATAAGATTGAGATTTTCTGAATCTAAAAATAATAAATTTGTAACATTTTATTATTATTAAAGCAAGCTGAGATAGGAATTTTAAGTGTTGATAAAAATGGGAAAATGAAAGGAAGTTAAAAATATTGTATGAATGAATTAGGAGGTATAAACATGACTATTAAAATTAGAGCTTGTTTCAAATGGTTCGGTTTATAAAGGAAAGTTGAAAATATCTTTAAATTAAGAGTATCTTATATCTTATTCATCATATGAAAGAATGCTTTATTTTATTAAAGGAAAAACGAAAGTATATATTAGGCTATTTATCAGGAATATTTGGATTTGGATAAAGTATAAGGCTATTTTAAATTTTATATTAAATTATATGAATTAAAAGTCTAAATTATACATAGTTGATTAATTGATAATTATTTGGCAATTATATAGAAATTAAATAGTTTATATTTTACTTTTCATTTTCTCCAGGAATAAAAAATTAATTCGTAAATAATAGGTAATGTAATTATGTTTTTGATCATATAGTATAACTGCATTTAGATGGTTTAAAAATTTGCAAGTAATAATTGTAAATATAGTATTTGTACCTGGAGCATATCGAATCAAATCTAATTTGAATATAAAACGAATTATAACTTATTAGAATGATTTAAAATTATATTGTAATAATTTTTATAAAATTAAAAATTAGGAAATTTTTTTAAAAAAGTTAATTTCAGCTAAATCATTTGAATAATAAATTTGGAATGAAGATAGAACAATAAATTTTATCAAGAATTTATCTTAAATTTATAATTTTATGACGAAAACAATGGTAGGATACCTTTTTAGAATAAATATTCAAATTCTAAAATCTCTTCTAATAAATAAAATAAGGATTATAAGAAAAAAATTAAAATAAATTAATTGTTAACTTCATTCAATTTCTTCATCATCTACAAATCCTCTTTAATTGCATCCTTCCTCATAGTCTTTGCAAAGGGCAAATAAATCTTCTCTATATATAGACATTTCTTCAGATTCACATCCTTCTCCATAATACCAATGAACAAAGGCTCTTTTAGCATAAAGCTGGTCAAATTTTTTTCCAAGATTGTCAAAATAATTGTAAACACAGGTGTCATTTGAAAAAAATAGATCAGTTTATCTTAACTAGGCTGGCTCTGGAATAACTGCATAATTTTCAGATTAACATAAAAATATATTCGGAGTTTCTTAATTTTTAGTTCTAATATTTTATAGGGTTAAATTATATTAACCAAAAAAAGGATTCACGTATTTAGAACGATGAACAAAAGCAGCATAAGTTTTCATAGGTTTTATTTGACATTATAATAATCTTTATTCTTGTTTAATACATATGATATAAGTGATTTTTCATTCAATTCCTAATTTATATAATCATTAATAGATGCCAAAGGTCCATATTATGGAATTATATAATGAAGTCTTAGATAGAGACAAAGCCCAGAAAATAATTTATTGTTGTTAATTTTACTATATCTTCTTAAACCTGTGTAAGCGATGATAATTTATGATTTTAGATTATTTAAGTGAGTATAATCAACAAAATCTAAGCCGATCTGCATATCTATAACATTATACATTGATTGATTATCAAATATAACAACAGAATTACAATGCTCTAATGTCATATTTGTAGCTAAAACAGCATTATAGACATCTACTATATTATTAGACATTCTTTATGAAGGATAAATCAAGAATGCATTTTTTTCAATTTTTTGATTATATTTCAATGATAATCTTTCCAACAATAAAGAAGTAAATCCTGATCCTGTTCCACCACTTAAGGCAGACGTTACAATGAATTAATCTAATCTGTCCATGCTTTCTACTTATTTTCTCACTTAGTTTAATGCAATGTCACATATTTCCTTTCCAATAGTTTAATGAGTCTTAAAATTATTGTTCCCAACATCTTCCTTTCCTGTAACAAAAGAATTAGATTTATAATGGATAGATTTATTCTTTTTAACTTCGTTTATCATTTGATCATCTAAATCTGCATAAAGTGATATTGGAGAATTATTATTATCACTTTCATTATAAATGTATTTCTTTACAATTGTATCACTCTACTCCTTTGCATAAAGTTTCCATAAGATATCTCCCATCATTACACCTGCTCCGCCTATATGAAGATGAAAAGCAGAACATATTAATGAATAATAAATAATAATTTGCTAACACAAATAAAATGAAATTAATTTATTGAACTCACTTCTTCTTACAGCCTTAATTGATTTCGAAATTTTAATTACTTTCGATGACTAAATATAAAAAAGGAAGACTGATAGTATTGATTTATAATATAATCTTTGGAATTAATTCAATCAATTTATGTACTTAAGCTTAAAGTCATATGACTTAAAATAAATTTAATGAATTATAAAAAATTGAAATCATAAAAATTCCATAAAATGATAAAATCTATTAAAATTGCTTTTCAAAATGGGGATTTAATTTTTCATAATTCTAAATAACTTTCCATAATATATT